CTGGTAGTCTGAATTTGCAGTTGTATATTGTATCATGTGGAGTCTGTAGCCTGTCAACGTATCTTGTGCTTTCTATACATCGGCAAATTTGAAGAAATATGTATCCATCAAGCCCTGCGGTCATGGTCACAACGGACCTTTGGCAAATATGCGCCCACCAATAGCTCTGTCAAGAGAACTACTATATTATAAGCACTGTTTATAACCAGTCTTATGCATCAGGAAGTAGAGAGGTGTTCCTGTATGTCTGAGTCAGTGCAGAAATATCATCAACTGAGAAGTGTTTGGGATCTTTCAGCACTGAACAATGTGATCTTAGGGATCAAAGATATATATAAGTAGTTATAAGCTATTACCTATGTGTACATGGATGACAGAGGCTTGTTGATTCCCGACAATCGACCACACAAAACATAAACCCAGGCAGAAGAGGAGCCGCCACAAATTGCCTTATCAAGGTGGTCCTCTCTCTTATGTGATGCTTTCGGGGTCCTGTTCACTTTAGGGGGTTGCCGTCGCGCGTTTTCTGGCCGTTGGCCCCTTGATTACTTAGGATCAGTTTTTCATCAGGCAAAAACATGCTAGCCCTGCTGCACCTTTCTTTTGACAACACAGTATACCAATACATCAGTGTGATATACACTGAGGGCAATGACAGATATATCAGGTCGCGGGACATCGAACTGGTGGGAGAACATGTTCCTACAATGTGCTGAGAGACCCTTTGTTGTGCACAGAACATTCTAAGAAGATGATCTACCCTCTCCTAGATGTACATTCTACCCTCCTCTTTGTATCCAATTATGGTCCCTAGGGCATTGCCCGTATGTTGGACCTTACATACAGTGTGCTACAATTGATGCTGCGTGACGCGGGATGGAGCCTGCAACAATGCGTAGCTCCCCCCGGCTGGGTGAGCTCGAGGAGCTCGCGGGAGACCTTTGTTAGAAGTATAACGGTGGTGGCGGAGTGAGATGATGTTCAAAAGAAAAGAAGGAACAGTGGCAGGTATCCCGGCCCAGCACATCAAAAAGCCCCTGTGAGGAAGAAGCTACTGAGCTCCTACTAGTAAGTTGAACCACTTGCACCCTCCTGTATCATCCACTTCTGGGGACACACCAGGACCCTACACAAGTTTCTGAGAAAATCTGTGCCGAAGAGAGGGTATGGGAGCCGTTGTAAGATATTGGGCCTACACTGTAAGTTTATGCCGATTCCTGCAACTCCTGACCAGGTCATCAAGTGTAATATCACCTATTAGGATCAATAATATGTGGTATGGACTGGCAATATACGATATTCGATCACTAGGCACCAATGTACCCCATGTACACTCTTTCGGCACCCAGCATCATACTGCATCAACTGAGCGTTGCTGGTCCCGAGAGTTTACCTTATACTGGAGACTAAGCTTAAGACAGCGCCAAACCCTGGTACGACCGATCGGTCTTTGCCCGCAGTGAGGCTGGATCCAAGCCTTGCGCATGCAGTCCGTCAGACTCAAGTTCGCCAGCAATACCCCGGATTCGTGCTGTTACAGTTCGCATCCAGTGACAATCGGAGATCATGTATATTATGAGAACGTGCAAGCAGAATCGCAATCTTCTACAAATACATCATGAAAAATGCCCAAATAACACCCATCCACGAAGCACGAGGGGAAACACGGGAACGAGACGATACAATGGATATCGTACTAGTACAAGGCGGAGATTGCTGCGACCGAGACCGAGACGAGAACGAGCCAATGATGACGCTGGACCATGGGATAGACGGAATCAGGTGAGCTTGCGTGGACGAGAGCGAAAATTTTCTCAACAACGATAGATGGAACAGGAACGAGATGTCAGAGAAATGGTAAGACGGCCATGATGCGACTGAACATAGATGTCAGGCATATAGTCAACCCTCTTTTGTGAACATTTTACTCACAAGCAAAGAGATAAATTAGTAGCCAGTACCGCCACTGTAGCCGCCGTAGCCGCCCTGCGCGTAGCCACCTTGCTGGCCGTAGCCTTCTTGGCCGTACCCGCCTTCACCTGAATCATTAGCACTGATACTCCAGGTCAGCATAGACGAAAAATACCAACCTGATTGACCACCGTAGCCACCCTGGCCACCATAGCCTCCCTGTCCGCCGTAGCCGCCACGGCCGTAGCCTCCACTTCCACCTCCACCTCCGTAGCCGCCACGACTTCCCCCACCGTAGCCTGAAATCAGAGTTGACTAATGTCACGTAGTATGACTAAAACAGGAAGGCTGACCAGCACCGCCTCCTCCACCACCACCGCTGCGCGGGTTGGCAAGGTTCACTTTGATTCTCCTGCCATCGAGCTCCTGCTCATTGAGACCACTGATGGCGGACTCCGCCTCAGTTGTGGAACTGTAGGTCACGAAACCAAAGCCACGAGAACGACCCGTTTCACGGTCACGCATCACGATCGACTAAGTCAGTCATCAGCGAACAGTCATTATAACGACATCGATGAGATGTCGTCTAGATGATAAGCAATCGCGTACATCCAGAATCTGGCCGTAGTCAGCGAAGACCTGAGCAACAAGCACGTTAAGGACCAGACACGAGCAAGGACACTTCATAATCAGACTGACTGAACGGAGCGAATCATCGGTCGTGTTCCAACTCAGGTTGCTACATGGGGACATTAATCTATCAGTCACGCTCCCCTACTACTACCAGAGCAGGGAAGCGCCCGGGACAGCAGACACAGGCACAAAACTGACCCAACGTAAACTTTTGCGGACATGATGGTAGCTTTCAATAAAGTAGGACCGAGATACTCTTATACAAGGACCCGAACGACACAAGCAGAACGCAGAACCGAAACGCTGAGACACGGGCGATGTGGGGAGAAGAGAGGGATGAGGGGCAGCCCGGCGCTGAACCGAGACCTTCTTATAGCCTGGGCATGTTGGAGCTCCGATCTAAAAAGATGATCTGCTCCCCGAATAGCGGCAACTTCCCTCGGGCCCAGGCTCACCCAATTCATATTTGTGGAGCATCATGCCGCGATTCCAGCCCAATACGGCAGTGCCTGTTGCGAAAGTACTGGCGGGGTGAAACCTGTACAGTAAGCGGCAGTGGGACCGACTTGGCGATAGGCTATTTGCAGAACCACAGACTCCATGGGTACAAGACGGGGAATTGATGATACAGGAAATGCTAACATGATGTGCAACGACAAATATGCTGTGAGAGTGGACCAAAGCATGCGCAGAAAAAAGTTCATTACTACAATAAGGGACGAGAATCGTAGCAGAGTCATGCGGAGTCGTGAAAGAGTAGAAATCGTGGGCCGGCATCCTCAGAAAATGGTCTTCCTCTTCTTCTCCTTCTTCTGGGCTTTGCCCTTACCGCTCTCGCTCTGGATACTGGGAGAGGGACTATCGCCGCTACCGGTAGCGACATGTGCTTCATCTTTGGGAGTTTGAGCGGGAGACGACTGCTCGCGCCTCAGGCCGGGGATAATAGAACCGGTTGAACCCTGACGGCGAGAAATAGAAATCCTCCTCGCCAGTCTCTGGAAGTTCTGAGATGAGATGCGCTTGCGCTTTGGTTCAGCGTCAGGATCAGGGGTGCCTGATCGGGACGGCGGGGAGCCAACAGTAGGGACGAAAGTGACACCAGGACTCTGCGCAGCACTACCTTCTGCTACAGACGGAGTCTGCTGGGAGGCGGTCTCATCCGAAGTAGGGAATGCGACGGGAGCTGGACCCTTGCTAGCTGGGAATTCGAAGGCCGCGGGGCGGCTCGTGTCATCAGGGACTGCGACATCACTGGTAGCCTCGACGACGTTCGCAGAAGTAGCCGCAGCATCTGATGCGTCCGCCACAGCGATAGCCTCTTGTTCCTCTTTGGGTTCAATGTGATCCCCCTGGTCCTCTATTGTCGCGTGAACCTCGGCGGATGCTTCCGCAGCAGGTTCAGATGCCTCAACATCGGCGACATTGGTAGCCGGAATATCTTCAGCTACGACCTCGGACTTCGAAGGTTCTTCTTGACCATCGACGCTGTACCCAGCGACCGCCTCTTTCGTGGATCCTATTGTGACGTTGTCTTCAGTGCCCGAAACTTGGTCAGCCCACATGGAAGCAAAAACGCCTCCATGAGCGAGCAGTTCGCTGTGGGTTCCGTGTTCCACGATCTGGCCATCCTTAAGAACCAGGATACTATGGGACTGTCAGCCAGACTATACTTTATTTGATAGAAAGGACGTACAGATCGGCCGAAGCAATGGTCTTATTTTGGGTGGGAAATTCGGGCTCGTATTAGCTCCCATGATCATGTAAAGCTTATAACTTTACTTACCGATAAGCGGTGAGCGATAGACAGCGATGAACGTCCTTGAACCAAATTCTGCAGAGCTTTCTGTATATCTTTCTCGGTGGAAGTATCCAGAGCGCTAAGGAGAGATTAGTCAACAACAATGCCACATGCGTGCATGCAGCGCACCTTGTCGCCTCATCCAGAAGAAGGATAGGAGGATTCTTCAAGAGAGTCCTGGCTATAGCAACCCGTTGCTTCTCTATACAAATGAAGAGTGAGAATCGGTGAAGGCTGCGCAAACATATTAACCCTTACCGCCGCCGCTAAGCCGTACACCGCGTTCGCCAACTTTGGTCTCGTACCCGTCTGGGAAAGACATGATCCTTTCGTGCATCTGCGCAGACCTCGCAGCCGCCTCAATTTCTTCCATGGACGCTCCCATTTTGCCGTACCTGATAATAGATATTTAGAGTCGAGCGGCGCAGCATTCCTGACGCAGGCATACCCAATGTTATACGCAATGGTGTCATTGAACAAAACAGAGTCTTGAGGTACGACACCGATAGCCTTGCGTAGACTCGACTGGGTGACATCCCGGATGTCTTGGCCGTCTATGAGAATTCTTCCTTCGCCGTCTTTGAGGTCGTAGAATCTGTATAGGAGACGAAGAACGGTCGATTTGCCCGATCCGGATTCCCCAACCAAAGCAACGGAAGAGCCTCTGGGGACCTTGAAGGAAACTCCGTTGAGTGCAGTAGTCCGGCCATCGTATGAGAAATTGACATTGTCTGCTCCAAGGTAAGTTATACAGACTCCTTGTCAGAGACGAATGCTTACCGAATTCGATTTCCCCACCAGTAACAATCAGGTCAGGAGCGTTCGGCTTGTCGTTCACGTCAACAGGCTCGTTCAATAGCCGGAGCAAACGCTCGGCATCAACTAGAGATTGGTTTACGGAGCGGTAGATGTAACCAAGGCTGTTCAAAGGGCCGTAAAGCTGGACTCGCAAACGTTAGTCTTTTGAACCCCACACACTCAGCTAGCACAGCGTACTTGTCCCAGATATGTGATGAAAATGATGAAGTCGCTGGGGTACAACTCGCCTCTTGTCACGTGGAGAGCCACGATTAAGGCGCCGACGAGGAGACCAGAGGTCTAGCGATAATTCAGCCATTCCTGCTCTCAATCTCGGAACTAGGGCAAGACTCACAATGAGCAAGTTCTGCACCAGATTCAAGAGATTCAGCGATGCTAAACAAAGCTCGATGAGACACTGCAGAGCAAATGATACTGACTGATCTAACATACCGATGACCTTGAACTCAAGGGCCTGGTATTGACGAATAGCCTCTCGGTAGCGTTGGCCTTCATGCTGCTCGCCATTGAAATACTTGACTGTCTCGTAGTTGAGCAGACAGTCAGTATGGATCCCACGGGTTACCTGCGATGCATATCTTAAACATCCGTGTTAGGCAGTCTGTTATTTTCATACGCACGATATCCCGTTCATTCATTTGTCTCCGTAACTTCGTGCGCCACCTTGTCAGAACGACACTGGCCACGACTGATAAGGATGCAGTAAGTATCGGACGCGCAAATACCACTCACAAGCGCCTGTGGAATACGCACCGTACAAGAACATTACGATGAAGATGACCACGGCCAGGCTCCATTCGAATTTCCAGATGAAGATCCCCAGTGCGATAATCAGATCAAAGAAAGTAGGAAAGATGTTGAACAGAAGTAGCTATCGTGTTTGACTCTCAGCTCGAGCAAGCGTGGGATCGCGCTAAAGCAGCGTACCTCAAATGTACGGTTAATGGCAGATCCACGGTCGAGAATACGCAACACCTCGCCCGTCTTGCGGCGCGTGTGGAATGCAAGTGAGAGGTTCAGCAGATGGTCGAAGGACAATTGCGACATCTCTATCGAATGCACGATAAATAGAGATCTGATAGTCGTGAGACGAGATACTCACCCCGATCTGAGTACTGCATAACTGGCGCCCACAGGACCTATAATAACATATTAGAATGATATACAGCGTGTCCAGGATGGAGTTTGGCCGTACATCACGCAGAGCAGCCAAACCGCCGCTTCCTTGCAGGAACCTCAAGCCGACATACGCAAAGAGATAGGGCCAGGGGGATCCCTTGCCGCTCTCGAATACGTGTAACAAGGATCCCAGTATCAAAGGCAGTGCCGCGTTGACGAAGCGGCCTACAATGATCAGCAGGAGGCAAAGTGTCTGCGGGGAACATGAGTAAGAGGAATCTCCCAAGACAAACTGTACACCCACGGCCAGCAACTGCAAAGCAAAACTCTTGGTAGGCCACAGGTACGGAGTGATACGCCCCAGTCGTTTCCAAATTTCTCGCCAGGACGGGTCCAAGTTGACGTCCTGCTTCTCGCCGGCATCAGACTAGCGAGTGTGATGTCAGAAAAATCAGTAGACACAAATATGGCTCGCAAGACATGCCTTTACTGTAGGAAGTTGGACATCCGAGCGAGCAGGCGTGTTCGTACGAGTAGTAGGCCCAGAGCTAGCCGTGATCGAGCGACCACTGCGGAAAGTGCCATACTGGCTAGTCTTGGCTGTAACTGGAGACAAACCAGTAGATGTGGTAGCACCTTCTTCGGCAGACAGAAGCAAAGACGACGAATCCGGGGCAGCAGTATGGACTGTTTCGCCGAATGAAACAGGCGTATATACAACTCGGGGATAGACGAGCGCGAAGAGTAAAGGAACTAAGAATAAAACCCGGAGGGCAGGGAACACCAGATGCAGAAGAGCGGGAAGGTTGATTTTAAGTGGAAGTTCAGGAATTTTGGGAACTGGAAGAGTCGAGATGAGAAGTTGTGCCTTGTGCTTCACAAATCGAACTTACCATCTTTGTACAGCCTCACAGAAAGGCCGAACAGAACCACCTGGGCGATGTCCAAGAGAAGTGCGACTGCAATGGCAAGTTTCACCCTCTTCAATGACCAGACATCAACACCCTTGACGTCCTTCCATGCGCCCAGTGCTGCCAGACCACCAAACGCGACAAGACCAATGACAGCTCCGATTTCTATGCCAGTGTTCTGGGGCCATATTTTGTTGAGAAGTGCGTAAACGGCGAAAGTAAGTCCATCAAGGAAGAAAGTGAGTGCAGAGAGAGACAGAAGTGATAGAATAGCACCACGGCGGGGCACGCGGGTAGCTACGACGACAGACGTGATCTCCGAGGGGGATCGAGGAGGTGCAGGGCGCGTTGGTATGAGTGCGAGCGTGGCCAGGAGCACCAAAGCCGGTGAAACGACTCGAACAACATATAAAGCCTCAGTAAGGGATACATAAGAGGCGACCGCTGCCGCGGTCAACGTCGTCGCCATCGTCGTCGCCGACGTCGGGGAAGATTAGATGAAGGTCGTAAAGGGTCGTGGCGAGATGCAGAGGGCTCAGCGAACTATCGAGCGCCTTTATCCGGAAACGCTCGCCGAACACGAGTTCTTGGATCGGTTTTCACGTTTTCTGTCTTTATGCCACCAATCAGACTGCTCCCGCTACGCTTCTTATGAACTTTCTTGATTGCATCTTCCGTCGATAAGCTCGCTAAATGATACCTCACGTATACAGCAGATTGGCTGCGTATGTTGCATAGACATTGCAAGGGCTGTAAGGCCTTCTTGGCAAAGCTCGGAACCAAACTAGGATGAATAACAAGGCTGCACACGACTCCGGTTTTCTGACTGAAAGTAAAAGCGGTTTCGTTTATCATTGCTCGTTTCTGGATCTCCTGACATGCATCGGCCGGAGCTTTGGCGTGGACCACGTTCCTGACGGGAAACGTCGCTCGCCGACTGGAAGGAAGATGAGGCTCAGAACGGACCAACACGAGGCACCCGTCGGTCACTGTACATGTGCGATAGACTGTACCTATACTCATTAGGGACACAAAGCTGCCTAAAGGTGACAGGGCGCACCAGTCAAGGCTGACCATTCAAGCCTTCCAGCACGTCCTCGAGTTTACTTCTGAGGTCTTCGACCCTTGCACCCTGTGACTCCACATCCCCTCGATTTAACACCTTAATCACGGCCCTTGCATCGCGGACGAATTCATACGACTTCTCGACGGATGCTCCGATCTCTGCATCTCCGGCCCTGCTTTCGGCCACATCTGAGGTCTCCCGTGCGAGAGGCTCACTGGAGCTCCTTAGTACTTTGACTAGATCTACCTCCGACGCCCTCAGTAGGGCAAGATCCCGTAGCGTTTCGCTAAGAGGAAGAGGGTTCTTGTCAGGATTGGCAGCCATTTCAGCGGATTGACCCAGGCTAGACGGTGACTTGGAGGGTAATTGAAGGGTGGCAAGCCGTGACAAGATCGTTGTGACGACAGTCACCGACTCCTATACCGTACGGTATGTACGTTCTTAGGGTGAAAACGGAATTACTCTTAACTTTTTTTCGTGAGCTGGAAACGGTTCCAAATTGCATATAGACGCTGCGGGGATGTAGTTGTTCGGCGTCCGTTGACTGGGCACAAATTATTCTTTGTATTAGTATGACCCGATTTCCGTGATGTTACAGTCGCATTGGCACGAATTGCAATACTTGTTGCATTCAACGGCCTATTTGAAAGACTACGAACCTTAGAAGCTTGAAGCCCTTGCTTTGCGCTGTATAGGATGGCACCATGTGCCTGCCACCAACGCGTTTGTGGCGCGTCCATCGCGTTCCTTACGTTAATAATTCGGCTACCGAGTTTTCGCATCGCGATCCGCCGCTTAGGGGAAGCCGCGTTGGGATGCCACTAGTGCTGGCGACGAGCAAATTTTCTCTCTTCCCGCACCCTCTATGCCACCCAGAAGACAGTCACGAACTCATGTCGCGCGAGCTAACAAAACTGTCGATATCGCAGGGCGGACTTTGCCTGTGTCACCTGTGCTCGACACCCTGTTCTACTGGATGGCCGAAAGAGACGAAATCCGGCGGAAGAAGATGGCGGGTCAACAAGCCCCTTGGACGGACGACAATATCATGTCGACCTACCGATTTACCAACGTCTTTCGCGTCTTCGACCGCACGACGCAGTACATCGTGAAGAATGTTATCAACCGAGGCAGCCCAGATTTATACGAGACGTGCTTCCGAGTCATGCTATTTCGGTCGTTCAATAGGATCAGCACCTGGGACCTCCTAGAGTCAGAGCTCGACTTGACCTGGGCGAACTTCAACTTTGGCGCGTATTGTAAAGTCCTGGGCAGGGCTAACGAGGATGGCGTCCCTATATACGGTCACGCGTACATCCTGCCTGCGCCCGCTCTGGGCAAGAAGAGGAACTACGAGAATCACCTCCTGCTGTTGCAGCAAATGTTGAAGGATGGCCTCCCGGACAGCCTGAGCGGTGCGGCGGATTTAGAAGAAGCGTGGAAATTGATAAGCTCGTATATGGGGATGGGTGTATTCCTCAGCTTCCAGTGAGTCTGCTTTAGCCTTCGGGCCGTTCCGCAAAGTCTGAGTTGCGAAGGTTGCTCCTGGACCTCAATATGACCGCGCACTTCAACTTCTCCGAAGACCAGTGGGCGATATGCGGGCCGGGTGCGGCATCGGGCTTGCGTAAAATCTTTGGGTCTCACGTCGCGGGAATCGAGACAGAGGCTATGAAATACCTTCGAGATACCCAGTATGAGCATTGGGCGCGTCTCGGCATTACGGAGCTACCGCGCCTTCATTCGGAGCGCGTGGGCGTGACGCTGGTGGACCTAGAGCATTCGATATGTGAATGCGAAAAGTACTCCAGAGTGAAGCACCCGTCGATTAAAGGCAAGAGGACAGTAATAAAGAGTGTCTACTCTGCCGATGAGCAAACGCTGGAGCTGGTTTTGCCCGAGAAATGGACGCCGCGAGGTGGTACCTCGAGTGCGCCGATATCCCTTGCACACATCCCGGATGGCGAAGCCTTGACTGAGGTTGATGATTCTGAGGTTGATGATTCTGATCCCGAATATGAAGTCTCGCATATTTTGGATGAATCACCATTGCCACAGGGTGGTACAGAGTACCTGGTGCGATGGGTTGGTTACGGGCCTGATGATGACATGTGGTTGTGTCAGAATGCCCTCAGTGGTGCCCCTGATGTGCTCCATGCATGGAAGGCCAAACAGGCCAGGAGGCGAAGGGCATCCAAGAATCCCAAAAGGTATGGTGAGTGGAATTGAGTGAACAGTGTGATTGGGATAAGCAAGGTACGTGAATTGTTTCATAATCAGAGATGATAGTCTAATACATCAATGGCATCAGATGAGCTCAGCTTTCAGTGCTTTGCCAGAATTAGATGCTGGATCCTGCAAGAATTTATATGTTGCATATTAGATATTATCCTTGTTTGTTGCATGGAAGGGCTTTACTAGTATATAGTAGTATTGGATATTAAAACAGGTTGTATATATTTAACATTCTGACAGACATGTGAGCACCACAGTGTAATCATGTTGATTACTATGGTTGCCAAATCTGGCTATATGCCTACCATACAGGGTTGTTGTGGCTGATGTGAGATGCTTCTGGTTTGCGGATGTGAAAGGTTCATGTTCACGTTGTTTGCCTTTGAAGGTGACAATGTTCTCTCTCGGTGCTTTTTCCCCCATCTCTCCTACTCCATTGTATTGCTCTACTGCTCAAGAATAGACTGTGGTCCAAGTTCTACTTGTGTGCTAAGACTCCGACTTGGGCCTCTGGCCAGTGAGGCTTTGGCATTTCACAGCAGCACAACAAGGTAATGGATACCATAGGGAAGTTACTTGGGAGACAGCTCTAAATCCATGCTCTTGAGCAAACAGGCCATAGACCATGTTCCATGTTCCATGTTCCATACACTACAGCTGAAGTCCCATGGAAGGCAAAATATGAAGGAAGTGAAAAGGTTTCATCAATAGACTTTATTTAGCATCTGGACTGTTCTTGTCTGACTTTGACATCTGAGCACCTTGGGAGTTCAGTGACTTGCCAGATGTGCCTTCCCCACTCTTAGATTGCTGTGAAACGGAAGAAAGATTCTTTGGACAACCAGCCTTTACTGCCTGTCTCACAGGCCCGCGAGGGAAGGGCCAGGCCACACGAGGGCATGACCTGCATATTTCAGTGAATTGGGGAAACAAAACCTGGAAGAATCATCACTCACGGATTGTCAAGCTCTGTTACACAGTTATTGCCCCTTGCTACTCCGTGCACTGCATTGGTCAAGCTGGCCAGACAGCAGGCAAGGACCGGTGTTCCACCTCCGGTCATTCATCTTTCACAGCAAGGGTGGGAGAACACTTTCTTAGGATGCTCCGTAGTGGAACATGATACAGACATAAAGAATGAAAGGACAATGTTAATTAAATGTCCCCTGAATTTTGGGGACCATAGTAAATGTCCTGCAGACCTTTCTTTGTTCACTCAGTGGACATTCTTCATGTCCAGGTTATGGTCCAGCAAGGACCATTCTAGGAAAGTGTTCTCCCAACCGGGAAATGTTCCTGGCATGCCCGCCGGCGGGACATTCGTCTCTGCCCGCAGTGCCGTCACGTCAGTGAGTAATCTCGAAGGTGCATTGGAGCCAGACACATCCTCCTGAAACTGCACGGCCATTGGCAGCATACAGCGACTCGCGTCTGAGCACTCTGTGCAGGAACATATCATTAAGTAAATCAGCACTCATGCATTTATATGCCTGAGACATATGGCAGGCTGTGTGCGCAGCAAGAAGCTAGGTCGCCACAAGCGGAACCAAAGACGTTGCGCATGCGGTGTGGCCGTCAAAGCTGTGTCAGACACGTGCCAAGAATCATGGAGTCTGGCGGCCACAAGTTTGGCCACATCAACGGTAGCGAAACTACCGGACGCTTTTCAGTAGTGTAAGGTCGCCTAACAGACATCGTAGTCAACCGAAGACACCGTAACTGAAGATGTATTTTCATAGTCCGTAATATAATTCCGAGTGCCGATACATTCAGTGGACTATTTCATTGTCCGTACAACGTCCTATGGCGCGTATCTGGACACGCCACTCAAGGTAAGAAATAGTGCGTTATTTTACACCATTGGTGGGCTTGGTGGGCTTGGGTTTGGGCTGGGGTTTGGGCTGGGGTTTGGGCTTCCCCGACGTGGTGGTATTTGTCGGTCCCCTTGGCTTGTACAGTCCTTTCCTAGGGGGCTGCGCCATACTATGCAACAGAATTGTTACACGACATCGCTGAGATATGCGACGACACTCACCTGGCAGGGGCGGTAGATGCGGTTTGAACTTTTACGGACACGGAGTCATACGTCTCCGGAGCCATGGCAAAGTGATGACTAAGACCACCTTCAGTTATGCAGAACCTCACCCTGGAAGAACAATCATACCTCTGATTAGAAGCCCTGTCAAATCGGGCATGACAAGATATGAGTATAGTTAGCACTCCACTGACCCGAAGGACGTACCGCGCCAATAGGTTGTTGGGGAAATCTTTGGTCCCCTCCTTCCCGACACGTCCATTTGGAAGCATCCTAGTTGACGGTTTGGGATTGGGAGCTGGACAAACAATTGAGCTATACTACGCACGGCTTGACTTCGACATGGACAGCGGTGCCACTAGGAAGTGTCCTGCCGAATCCGTCAGCTGGGTTATGTCGCATTGCGTCCGAACGTACCCATTCGTATCAGTGGCATACTGCCCAATTTTCTCGCTGGACGGCCTATGTTAATGGCAGTTGGGGTCGACAATCTTGATGTTCGCCACGTACTGTTTCATAATAGAGCTCGTAGTGTTTTCCGTAACTGCGACTGCGTTCTGTACAGTAGACATTGCTCGAGTTTCTGGAGAAATCAGGTCGTACACTGGTGTGGTCGAGAGGTGAATTGCGCTATTGTGCTTCGCTAGCCAGACGGACAGGCTTTTATGCCTTGGCCTGAAGCAGGACAGAGCGCGTCAATCATGAAGTCGCACATAAGAACGCAGAAGATTTCTGGTGTTCATATCGTTGTCTGTGCGTTCTGCGTTCTGTTGTGCATGGCCTCCAAGACCTCCTTACGGGAGGTGATCCAGCAACTCCACTTCATTAGACCAGTCCAATACTCCGATCCGGTAAGCGCTGTTGCTTACGGATGTCACGAAGCTAATGGGTCCCGGTGTTGAAGTCACGCACGCGATGCAGTGAACTCTGATCAGGCGGGGAAGGAACAGGCACTCTGTTCTGTGATACGACTAAGACGATCGATATACAGTAGGCCACAACGTACCCGCGCCGGCACCGCCTCATCAGTTCTGAAGTGTCCGAAAATTTCCAGTATTGTGGGCACATGCAACTCGTGCTCGAGTAGGGGTGCCTCGGAGCCGCGCTCGCCAAGGATCAGGTCCGAGATCGTCAGAGTCTTGTTGAACCTCTCGACCTAGGTCGTCCGTCAACCAGTATTTCTAATATTAGAAGTGGCTTCTCGGTACCGGGTACCTCACTGAACAGGCTTGCATCAATAGAGTGAGAGCAATACCTCTGAAAATACGGAAGTGACAGTGAAGCCATTGGTTGTGGTCTTTGTTTTCTTTTATTTTTGTCGTCCACAGTTTGTCCCTGAATGCGTCCCTCTTCTGTACGTTCGCCACAGCTATCCAATGTTCATCGCCTACGCTGGAGGCCTGAAACCAGCAAAAAAGGAGGATACAAACCACACCTTGGCGTCGGACCGACGTCAGGGGAAAAAAGACGGTATCAGTAATAAGCAGGGTAGCAAGCCATCGGATCTCAGAAATTTACGCTGGTATCGCTGCAACAGATACGAAACATATGATATGACGGCAGACGTTAGCATCGCCGAGTAGACAGCAAAGTCTGGGTAGTTTCTTCCCATTCCGGACGGCGGGAAATCCAGGGCTACGACTAGGCATCCGCCGCCTGCGTCCACGACGTTAGACCATACACTGTCGCGCGCATGTTCATAATGGATGCGAGACTAGCTGCCTGTCGGTCATATAGATCCTTCCCGCAGTATTCCTGGCGAACGCCCCGTACCTGAGATGCGTCCATAGAAGACCAGATGGTCGATATCATTCGGATCCGCGGCTTGCGCCTTCTGCTTGATCCATCGTGCTGCACCTAACCCGACCCGACATGCTCGGAGATTGCGGCATTGGGTGTGCGAAGTATTTCGGATGCCCGAGGGAAAGGTTTTGGAAGAGCTGATTTTGGGCTCTACTCCAACCACAGTCTCTGTTGTAACAGACGATAGCTCATTGAACGAGGCTAGACAAAGACTCAGATGATGTAGTAGTTAGGACACTGAGACAATCGATGAAGGCGATGCTTGCTTACCTATGAATGCTAAAGCGACAGATTCTCAAAAAGGACCATTGAGACGACTGTGGAATGAGCCGAAGGCCAATGAGGACGGCTCGTGATGATGGAAGGTCAGTGCCTCGTCTATCTGGCACGTCATTATTAGAGGAACATGACAGTACAGCAGCACTCGGCACTATAGGGAGATTTCACGATGCATGCGGCGCGTCATTTGGAACTTCAAAACGGCGAGTAGCGCAGAGTTTTTGAGGGAGCCCGTATGCTCGTACGCTGGTTGAATACCTGCTGCCAGTCTGGTACTCTCCCCGTCCCCACCCCCATCTGTACCGCCTTTGGAGGAAATGTTGCGAGGGGAATTCGCCGCGCGGGTTGATCCTGCCTTAGTCGGGTCGCAATTATGGCCGGTGCCAAAGGCTGTGTGGGGGGCATAGCAATCGTCGTCCGTTCCTACGGAAGAGATCGGAGAGGGTCGTCTGCGATGCTTTGAGTCTGATCCGTATGTAGCCCATGGCAAGATCCAACTAGCTGTCGGAACACGAAGACGGTTCGGAGGCGGTAGGTTAATCTCGTCTTTGTAGAGCGATCGATTGCTTCCGTGTGGAATCCGGGATGACAGCAATATTAGGTTTGCTCAACAGTTAGACGAAGCTGGAGAAGAGACAGGTTAGCGAACCACCGTTACAATGCTGATGAGGTTCTACCTAGCTCCGGTTCGGAGTATCCACGGTCTGCCTCAGTGAACACCGCGGACGTTATTTGATAGTACTGGGCTTCCTGCACCCCGCGATGATTCTCTGTGGTCAGCAGTCTAGAGCTTGCAGATACGGGACGTCTGCCCTCTTCTTTCCTACGTACGCTGCCGCTCAAATGGCCACTGGCCGGCTCAAGCACTTATCGGATCCGCAATCGATTGCACAAAGGGTGTAAGATCCGCAAGACGCGCCTTGCTACATACTTAGGTTGCGATACGATAATCACGAAGTGTTGAATGCCATTGTGGTGGCTGCGCGATTTTAATGAAACAAGGGGCGAATGTCGACTGGCCATGGGTCACTGGGAAATTACATTTGAACCAGAGAATACATACCCCACGGCAGTCCCATGGGCAGTGATTCTCCCGGATTCCGAGCGTTCATGAGGCGCATCTCAACCAGAAAGGTCCTTATACGGTCGTGATGCGCCAGGATTGAGTCATGGCAGGGGGGCCTTACAGTCATGGTGGGGCTGTGATTGGGAGGAGACGAGGCGAAAGGTCCGGGTTCAGTCGCCGGCCATAGGCTTACCGTGGGAACGTGTTCGGCTATATGAAGGCTGACAGCGTTGAAACGGAAATTTGCAAGGTCCCTTTGTCCCCTCCCGCAAGCGCAAAACGTTGTCGACAGCGTTCTCTTCGCAACAGAACTCCTTTCTCTGATCTATGAAAGACGTCGAACCGCTTTGGTACGTACTCGTCCTGTTTCACCCGCATTTTTACGTTCTAATCGGGCCTGCAGTAGTACAAAACAGACGAACGAGATACTCTTCGGACCCCTTGCTTTCTTGGTTGACACTGACAGGCCACCTTAGGACCCGCAGCGTCCCACCTAAAACACACATCAATCGACTTCCCACCTTGGCTAATGGGATAATTGCACTGTGCATTCGCCGGCATCAGGTTACCTGCTACCGCCTACTGCATCTTGGAACCACATAGAGAACTAGAAGAAGTAGAAGAAAACAACACCGACCTCACGTCGTACAGCTTAGAACCCGGCCTATATCTCCTCACCTCACTAGCAATGATGCACGCGCTCAAGAGCCCCTCGTTCTTCCGCCCTTCCAGCAGACCGTCTTCTCCGTCTCCTGGAAGCGCACCTCCGTCCCGCCCTGATTCTAGCATCGGCACGCGGGAGGCACGTCCTCGGACCAAATTGTCATTGACGACATTCAGGCGACCTTCCCCTGCACCGTTGCCAGTCGCTGCTCCTCCTGCCACTCTCATTCAGGATGGATCGTACTTGGACGCGCTCAGTTTGAAACTTAGTGAAGGTGTATCCAAGGCGATGGCTCAAGCCAGCGGGCCTGCTAATCCCGGAGAGATGCTGAATGGGAGGAAGCCTATCCCCGCTGGTAGGGGCAAGGCCCTGGGCAATCTGATTGCGTCGTACGTGGGGTTCTCGCCGTAGTTGTTTCGTTATATCTCATAATCGGTCACTAGTGAGGTCAATGCTTCAAGGGACAATCCGCACTTACGTCGGGCCGTATTCCGGGCTCTTCAGCGGCCTCTGTCCGTTCTGCTGACGAATATCTCTACGGACCTTCTGCCTTTACTATCATCCCCTGCTTTCCTCTCGCCTCCGGTTCCTACCGTTCAAGCGCCCAACCCGAATCCTGCTCAGGTGCACGCGTTGGCACTAGCTACGTTTGCCGGTGAGCTGCTGGAGACCTTCGATGAATTAGGCCTTGGGTTGGAGAATGACAGCAGAGGCGACGGATTGAAACATGTCCGTGATGGGCTGGGGTCAGTCGTGCATAGGGTCGTCAACCCTCTGGTTACGGGAATCAAGAATGAACTGGCACCCTTGATAGAGGCTTTGGAACGTCCCAGCGCTTCAGGCACCGTCGTATCAAAGAGTACAGGCAAGGTTACGTCTCAGCATCCGTCCATTGCTGCTATGCAGCACGTCATGCCCATCTATGCCAGGGCGTTGGCTCGGTACACGGCGACGCCTGTGTCGCAGGCTTCCCTCGCCACGCTGATCATCTCTCTTGTATGGCGAGGGCTTGTCGCCCTTTCGCATCGTCCTGATATCACCAGCTCAACTCGACCCAGTCCACCGCCTAGTCCAAGCATGGGGGGTGTCAAGAAGCGCCGGGGATCGTCCACGACACCGCCTGTCACGCCGCCGGCTTCGAGGTTCACGATGAAGTTGCCTCCGTCCCGTCCGCCTTCACCGCCCGCCGTTCCGGTGCCAACTAGTGCCGCCACGGATGCTCGTGCGTTGTACGAGTTGCTCAACGTGCTTCCTCGTCCCGCCCCCGACAAGAAGTCGACCCAGCTGGCACGTGAGGCAGTGGACGAAGCTTTTGATGGGCTGAAGGCGCTTGTCTCTCTCCTTGAGGCTGTGCAAAGCCATGCGATGCACCTGAAGGCTGGAAGCGTGGAGGAACTCGAGAAGGATTTGGATGTCATTACTGCCGGCTTGCCCATCATGATCGCCCTGCCAATTCTTTTACGGGCGTATGTTTACAGCTCAAACAATGATATACGAGACCCGGCGCAGATGCGTACCATCGCGTCCATGGTTGGTTTGTCTGAGGAGGAATATCGCAAGGGCTGCCTTGCGGGCTACGGGCGCGCAGAGGAATACGAAGTCATGGTCGGGGAACGCGTATACAATGCTCTGCGCAGAGATGAAGGCTTGCGGCGGCAAACTGGACCTGCCTATGAAGCCGTGCTATTGTGGTTGGAGGGTCGCATCAATGGGGAAGAGGATTGACTGCATGGACTCGAATATCTTATATATTTATGCTTCTCAACTATAGCTAAGATATCCAGATACCACGTTCAACCGGGCATTTGTATCATACTGGTTTCTTTGGAATGGTCACTGTCGTTTGCCTTGACTGAGCTGCGCTGCGAAGAAAGAAATTTAGTAGGACGTACACAAGGGCTTCGGAAAACCAGCAATCTGAACAATGTCATCTCAATGTCATCTTGTCATGCAAGTCGACAATGGGTAGATGCCTCGGTCTCACGGCAACAGAGATGACAAGAAGAACCGCTGGGCTGCATAATCTCAGGTGGCCCTCCCCCGAGCAAGTACAGCCCGCGCCAGTTGTACATACTCCAAAGCAGCAGAGGGATCTTTACCCTCCGCCTCCGTAATCTTCTCCCAGTGTGACAATCCACCCTCGATCAGAGTCAATGCCTCCTCTTCTGTGTGCTCATCTACCCACCGCACGTATTCAGCTTCTTGCCAACCATGAAGCATGTGAGGCAGCGGGATTGCGGATCGCACAAGAATATGGTGAAGGACTATCAATGGCGGTAGACCAGTGGTGTGTTGCGGCGATGCTAATTGTGCATTGTCCAAGAAAAGAAGCGGCCTAGAGAGGGTTATCGTCACCACTGATCAGCATATAGGAGCCGAGATATTACTAACCTCATAGCCCGCAAAGCATGGTAACCATCGCCTACCGAACTCCAGTCTGCTCCCCGTCTTTTGGCCTGACTGTCTGTCATGAACGCGCTGATCGCGAATTCGAGCTCGGTCATATCACTGGTGAGTTGGAGTTTGCCGCTTTCTCCCAGTGGCTTGACAATCGAAACATGCAAGACGAAGGTCCTTAGGACATACTTCACGATCGTCGTAATCCTGTGAGCAAGGATTCAATTCGGTGCTCTTCAAAAGTAACGTGAGAGCACGAACCATGATCGCATTTCGTCGCCAATATTGAACTTGTTCAATATCTCCATCTTGACAAATGTTAATTTCTCCACAAGATCCTTCATATAAAGACTAGCACCGCCTCCCATGCCTGCCATGGGATCAACGTCTTTACCGAAGTCTGTCCTGTGGACTCGGGCGATGATGGCGCCTAGCTCTCGTTTTATTGCAGTCAAGAGAGGATCAGTCATCTTCTCATATGCGGCGCGAATTTTCTGGCGGGACAATGAGCCAAGGCAACATAGGTATGATACGGCATACCTTGACATGGGGGCTCAGAATGCTAGTCACGTTCTCGGGATACTCCTCCTCCAACTTTTGCAGCCGCAACCAGCAGTGATACAGCAACGAGGTGACCTGACCGTTCAGCACCTGCTGAGGGGTGGCTGTGGGGCCCATCAACGTGAAGGCCGACCGATCTCGTACCAACTGTGGTGCAAACGATGAGATGCAACGCTCCCATGCTCTTAAAGAGACATACTAAGCTGTCTGCTCGATTTAGCATCAAATCAAGGCTAGAAACTGTGTTTCGAGCCACGGACTTGATGAGCAAGGGATCAAACTTGGCGGAGTCGAGCTCGTTCGCGATACCCCTAGCGATATTGACTCCCTCGTTCGCGCCCGGTGGAGAGCGCATACCGCCAGCAAAAGCTTGGCCCACAGTTTCGTTGAGCTTGTTGCTGACTCGAGACAGGTAGATACCCTCGAAGGTGGAGAGAGCCCTAACGACAAGGATAGTTTCCGGGCTGTGGGGCTCTTGTCAGTTCCGCTGCCGGAATACTAGAGACAAGTTAAATGACCTCTGGTGCGTCGCGCTATAAACGGTATCCGTGTGTACGGCTATCTTGGCGAAGAACTCATGGAACAGCCTCAACAGCCGAGGATATCCGCCGCTCAGTGTTTGCTGCAAGAACGAAGATCCTACAAGGCGTCAGACGTAACTCGCTACTTGATCCTAGTGAAGCACCTTTGGCAGCGTCTTTGCATTGCTTCTCTAGGGCTCGACACAACGAAGACCAGAAGGTCGTACTTGGCCGATCCTCTAGCACCTGTCGATGAAGAAGCACATGGATCGGAATGGATATCGAATGTACCGTACTGACAAACTGACCTTCATGGCCTCGTCAAGGAAGACTGCACCGGTAACAGGATCTCTCTTCATTTTTAGTACCTTCTCCAGCGTATAAACCTGCACAACCCTAGAATCAGATTACTGCATGCAGCAGACTGTTAAAGCTCTGAACCTTGACGCAACATCCTGTCAGCTCCTCCACAAGCGCCTCCAGTCTCGTCCACAATAAGGCGTTCCATTGCGGCGCGGTGAGGTTTGTAGGCTCGGTACGGACACGCGACTTGTATAGGACACTTTGAGAGGTGGGCGCAGTATCTATAGTGAGGTACGGTCAACAAACCGACCAACTCAATTGCACAGCACGCAACGCAAATGAAGTTCCCGAATGCAAAGATACCACAACCTACCTTTGGTCACCGCATCCTTTGATAACTGCGATAAGTCGAATGCCGCACGTATCCTGCTATCTAAGGCACCGGCCAAGTCCAGTACCAGGTTCTGGACAACCTCTGGCAGGACCCGGAGATTGTGAGCGGTCTGCAGGGATGACGCCAGGAGCGATTGGTTCTGTATTCGCGTTGTAAGTTCAAAGATTACAGAAAGCGAAGCGATGATCAATGACGTTGCGGATGCGAACGAGGAATGAGATCGGCTAGATGAGCCAAGGGAGACGAGAAGCTGATTCCTGTATGACTTACCAAAGTTGCCAGCCCGGTGACTACTGTATTCTCCATCTCGGTCGTGATCTTAGCACGGGATGCCTCGATAAAGGGAACGTGGGCTGCCACGGCATTAATAGCGCGAAGTGGTATCGCCGGGCTGTCTATAGGTTCGTTCTCATCTTCGTCATCTTCGGTTGTAGATGACTGCGGCCTATCTTCGGGGCTCGTCCGGTTGTGTGCTGACTTGTCGCTGCCGGAGGGTTCTGCTTCCGTTTCAGGCGAAGCTTCGAGCAGCGCCGCTGTCGTCACCATGCGAATATTAAAACAACGTGTTATGGTAAATTTATAATTTAGCATTGCAGGGGTAGGATGACTGGGTGGGCTCACCGAGTTCGGCGATACTGAGAGCCGCTCTGGCGATAGTCCGCTCCTTTTCTTCCTCGTGATCCAATGCACGGGAAGGGGTGGCCTTGCCATCCGCCGAAGCGTCTGGAGCAGTCTCAGCAGCGTCCATCTCGGCCATCTGGGACTCGAGTCGTCGCGCTACCACGACAAACCTAGACATACGGCGTAACACATCCAGTGCCTGTTGCAAGCGCTGCAGTCGGGTGACATGGGTCTGTAGAGATTGATAGGGTGTGCGTATCTTAGAGCGAAGTCTAAGTGTGGGTTAGACGTATGCTATCATGTCCACGCCAGACGGACGAACTTTTCCAGTGACGTCTCTAGTTCCCCCAGTCCACCCCGGACTGATGTCAAGGAACTGTCTAATTCGCTGACTCCGGCAGCTTGAACCAGGAGTTCCTCGTGATGAGTAGTGACCTAGTACACAGAACAGTTCACAGCGTTAGGTTCGGACTATACGCGTCGCATCAACGTAGTAATGTCGGAACTATGCCATTCCATCAAGAGCACGACGTTCGCTCGCCTGGCAGATTCAGGGTACGAAGCGCGTACTGTGTCGATGGGTACTCACAACATTCTTTAGCTGTTTCGAGACATCCTCGATTCCAAAGTCCAACTTGGATATGGCTACAGAGATATCTTCCTTTGCGGGCTCAATTCCTCCGGCAACCTTGGAAGATGACTTGACAGGTTTTCCGGTAGATTGCTGAGGAGGGTATGGCTCGCCCGAAAGTATGGCATTGGCGTATTCGTGGGCGTCGAAATCAGGCCTAGCAAAGACGGAATAGTCTATCACGCAGCGTCAATGAGATAAGACGCCGTAGTCTGTAGAGACGACAGACCAGTCATTCGAGCTCAGCCGCGACAAATTCACAGCATTTGTATGTATCTCAGGTACTGGCAGGACAAACGTTCATAAAGGGCTCTGTCCACAAGACGCGTACCGATGCCTCAGACAGTTAAGCGCCGGGGACTTAGCGCTGGAAAGGCAGCAGATCGGAGTGCAAATCTACAGACTAGGATCTTCCGCTGCAGTCCCGTTGCGTCTTGTGGCTTTATGCCTCGTCGAAGCCGAACCTTTCTGGGACGCTGGCAGCGGATCTTCGCATTCCCGCAGTCAATCCGGTCTGCCTCATGTTTGTCTCGATGCGTGTCTGTAGAACTTGGTAGAGCGGTATTCAAAGACCAGCGCCCCTGTAAGCATCACGATTCTGCAGGCGCTTTGTGTCCCGCAGTATTGCTGGGTATCAGCTGCTCGCTCCATGCCGTTGGCTTCTAATTGGTAGGTACGTGGAGAAGCTTTGCTGGGAACGAAGTTATAGCTGGGAATGCCGCATCTAGTGAGAACAGCTGCGAGTGGCTAGCCTATCCCAGGCAACTACGATGCGCCTCGGTGGTTACTTTGGAACGGCCACGTTCCAGGGCATGTGCGCTCAGGATAGGCTCCCCAAACAGCCAGCGCTGAGCAGGGAGGATATGAATACCGGACGATAGCCTCCAAAGCCTTGCGAACACCATTGCATCTGTGGCGACCGACCTCTTCATTCTCGCTTTGCCGCCCTGAAACGTCGCATCTCAGATTTCTCCGCGTGACGTCAGCTACGGTATTATAAAAGCGCATGAACAAGCCCGCCCACTGTTTGTAGAGCTCTCGCGCGCTCTATCTTCTTTTCTGTCCAGCTCGAACTCCCTTTCTTTCCTATAGCATTGTTCACACGGAAGCTATAAAGCCCAGAGTTATCGTAGTTCCCTCCAAGGACCTTGCAGAGCAGAGGAATATCATCCACCCCAGTCGTACACCTCGAGATATGGCTTACCAATACTATCAAAGTCGCGGCAGAGGATGGGGAACAGACCAAGTACGTGTGCCCATCGTGATATAGTCCAAGTGCTGACATTCCCTGCCAGTACGAGTTTGTCCCTCCTCCCCCGCCCACCTTCCAGCCTCAGCCCTCCTGTAAGTCAGAATGCCGCCCGATCTTGTCCATAGCATTCATGACCTTGGTATATGTTAGGGGGAGGTTATGACTATTTTCGTGCTCATGCCATAAGCCCTGATCCGTGCGTAATATGCCTCCGTTTAACTCGGTGTTTGTCTAATTTTGACGGACCCGTGCAGATCCTTATACGACTCAGCATGGAGCCGAGTAAGAAACTACCCAACCGCTGGGGTAGGTTACAATGAGGCCAAAGTCTGGCACAGTCGCGCCTACGGGGGTCAAGTGAGTACCGAGTGGCATAATCTCTCGTCAATTGCTGACAACGTGTTGTGCAGGTCGATCTGGGCCAACTATCGCCGTATGAGATTGGTCATGCTGCTGCATACGAGGCCTGCCGCAATTGGAGATACAACACTTCATTGTATGAACCGATCGGCGGTGATCTCGAGAGGCAAAGAGAAGCCCTTATAGGGTTGGCCATGGCCGAAGGTACGCAGATGTCCTTCGAAGCCACGCGTAACACTGGCTGACAGTCGCTCTGCATTCAGCTACTCGCCTTTGGCACTATTCCGGGCGAGCACTAGATAGGGCTGGGCGTGAAACTGCCTGCGAAGCAGCTGCCGCGACAGCTCGAGTTATCCACGATCAGCAAAACATCGACGACGTACTTGGGCCGCCTCCACTTCACAGGCGGAGCTCCTACTCGTCGTTCCATTCCTCCGGTTCGGCTTCTCCCTACGATGCCTACGACTACGACCCAGCATACCCTGACGATGGGTATGTATCGGATCCCTACCGGCCCTCACGCCGCCGTTACTCGTCCTCGTCATCGCGCCCTCCACCGATCCAGTTCTCCAGTAGCAGCTCCGTCGGTTTCCCGACGATGGGACCCACGACCGCACCTCTGCCGATTCAGGCTTCCCCTTCGTACTCGTACCAGCGCAGACCTTCATTAAGTGGAAGCTATCCAAGTGGAGGCATGGTCCCTATGCCGACGCCGTCTCAGACTTATAGCGCAGTCCCTCCGGTATACAGTACTCCCTACGGAAGCCCTGCTGGAGGTTTCGGAATGCCACAGCAGCAGCCGTATACAGTATACGGTGGGAGTTCGGGAGGATACGCAGTGCCTGCTGGGTCGACAGTCATCATTCAGAATCCGTCAAGATCGAGGAAGCGTAGTCATCGCCATCGGAGGCACAGTACTGTGAAATACTGATGGTCTCGACTAGTGTAGGTTCTCTTCAGTCACTGTAATCGCATGCAACGAGCGTGTACTTGTATAATTGTGGCATGGTGTAAGATACGGTTCATTACTCAGTCCTTCATCGCAATGCTTTCTTTTCGTGCACAGAACATGCTATTTTTATATATGGGTCTTCCGTCAGTGAACCCTCGCATCTTTGCGAAGTGCCTGCAATGTTTTCGCCGCTGAATATTCTGCAGTGCAGCGGAGCCTTACAAGTTATTATGACTGGTCGGTGCCGCATTGCCACAGTCGAGCCACTCCGCATCGCTGCGCGTGCTTCCGATATGAGACATTCCCACGCATCCCGGTTTACCCAGAACAGTGACGACCCCTGTCCCGGATATTGACTATGGAAATGGAAGGAAATTCTGCCTTTCCATTTAACCAGCATGGGCGCAGGCGTAGTCGAGCAGCTTTCGACTGTTGACATTCCTCCCGGGGCATCCATCCATGCATGCCGTGAGTTTTATTACGTTTTCATTCAGGCTGCTCTTCGTGCTGATCTGGAAGAAATTGGTTCTGGTCGAGGCAGCGAGGCTGCTGTCTCTTATGCAATCGCGTCCCCCTTATCTCTATTTGCATCAGGCGGAAGAGGTCTCCTTGCTCCGGGGGAAATATATACATGAGCCTCTCGACGATGTTACCCGCGAGAAGTTGTGTAGGTATGAGAGTTTCCGGTGGCTGGATATAATCGAGGGCTTCCACAAGGTAGGTTACATTCCCCAACACAATCATACAGGTAATTGATGTAAACTTGTATACTCTTAAGGGTTCACTCGACCTGGCTGGTCGTCACTTCTCTCGTTATCTGCCTCTGCAGAACCTCTGGCGGGCCTTCCGCAAAGAGTTAATGGACGTCCAACAGAAGAGGCCATCGAGAGGCCAGGAGAACGGAACTCTTGAGTCAAAAGTGGAGGCAGTTGTACTACGTGATGAACCTGATGCCGAGAGTCTGCAAGAACTGCGTCAGAAATGGTCCATCGCATCAACGATCACTTACGAGGAGCTCCTCGGCAAAGCAGGTACGTCGACATGAACCCTTTATCAGGCGACTGTCGAATAATCGGCGTTCAGCTGCCATTGACTATGTCATGTCTGTTCAGCCAATGCCTATACTTCAAAGGCGACGTCTCATGTTCCTTCCCGTCGAATTGTTGGACGCCATAATGGGAATTGCGGAAGTACGCGACGCTCGTTTCTTCTCTGCAACCTGTCGCCTTTTACGGCGGATATCCCTTAAGTATATATACACGGTACGGTGGTTTGTCTCCCTAAAACAATTTCATCAGTTTGCTGATCCTGTCTTATTCAGGAGTTGATATTTATCTGTCGGATGTTCCCACCGGAAGACGGGGAATTCTTAGATCGACTTCGGGCGCATAAAGCGGATATTCAGAGCCAGTTGCTTCCGCAAAGGGATCGTTTCATGGCTCGACTGGACTTCGTGAAGTCTCGTCGCGATATCCTGGACAACATGAGCAAGATATGCATCATGGATCAGTGGATGACATGCCCGGAGGCTCTGGAGGAAGTGGGCGTGGTGGATATAGTGAGGCCCCTGGATGCCACTATCTGCACCGCCATTGGCGGCTTCTTACAGGCAGCCACGAGCCTGACGAGCCTTTTCTTGTGGCAAATTACCCTGGACCCTGCTATCTTTCAGGCAGTAGCAGCCATGCCGCGTCTTCGCACCGTGCACTATAATATGTGCGGTTTGGAATTCGACCCTCGCTGGCTAGTCAGACACGCGCGTTCGACCTCTGTGGTAAATTTGGCGCTTGTGGTCAATTCGGAAACCGGTTGGACCATGTGGAATGTGCTGCCGCTCTACCCCCAGGCCCGGGTCTGCACTATCTGTCCGAATCCAGGTCCCCTCCATAATCCCCTTTTCTTACCCGAAGACGTAGTGCAGGACAGTCACGCAGTCGCTTTCTTCGCCTCGGTCGAAAGGCTTTTCATCGATAGCTTTGACATCCCGGATGCGTTCACATTGCCGACCCTGTTTGGTCTCGCAGCAACTACAGGAAACGGGCTTCGCCTCACGCACTTCAAACTACACGCCGTCTACGGAATGAATCGCAATCAAATTATTGAACTCCTGACCGCTCTGTCTAGCGCGCCTTTGGAGGTCTTGATTTTGGAAGGTGTACAGTATGCGGAGCCCGACTTGTTTGAGCTCATAAGCAACGTCTTCCCCAACCTGATTGCCCTCACCGTATGTTACCGGCCGAATGACTTCCATCCGACGGGTGAAATCAAGTGGCCATGTCCTTCATGGGAGTATGCCCCTCACCTGCGACGCTTCCACCGTCTTCAGCATCTTGGTATGAATCTCAAACATGACATTGAATACTCGCCGAGGGATATGCTCAGCGTCGAGGAAGAATATGAGACGCTTCCCGAATGGGACGAAGATGCCCTGGACGACAATGATTGGACTATCGCTAGGACCTTCAGCGTCTCATGCCCGTCACTGAAGACATTCCTGTTCGTGCCAGGTCCGAGGTCTAGTAATTTTGGCATTGAAATCACCAGGAACGGTTCAGAGTCACTGTTCACAGGGAAGTTCGATTCGCACCTGCCCATCAAGGACTTCAATCCGCGCTACCACGACATCCTATTCAATACAATGTGCTCTTGGGAGGATAGGGATGACAAACAAGGGTACATGACTGGGAAAGAATTTACACATTAAATGGAAGTGGGGGATTCGAAGTTTCGAGGAGTCTGGGTAGGTCGATTTCGTGTTTCTTGCTTCTGATTCTGTACTGGTACTTAGAAGTTCGAAATGTTATATCTCAGATGTACGTTGCGGTCGTTTATCTAAGCTTTGCTACTGTAGCTCAGGCGGGTAATACAAGAATCATTATAACTGTATGGTAATCCGCCTCACCGCCTCTGTCGAGCATCCATGCACCGGGTAGCCACAGGCCACACGGTGCAATTATGCCACGTGGAGATCTGCTTACATCACGATACATCGGGATGGTCTCCCGGTTCCTTTACCCCAGAGTCCCAGACTGCAGACGCCCGAACACAGATCTGTCAGCTGCAGACGGAGGGTACGATGTCCCAACTTCTCGTACGCACTACTGCCCGTCGCGCGACCCTTGGCTTTCCTCTCTCGTCGCGCGTCGCTTTCCGCCTCATGTCGACCAAACAATATAACAACATCCTGACGTCCAAGCCTGAGACCGGCGTTGGTCTCATCACTTTGAATAGGCCCAAAGCGCTCAATGCCTTGAGTTCGCCCTTGATGTTGGAGTTGAACGAAGCTTTAGCGGAATTCGACGCCGATGATTCGGTTGGAGCTATTGTCCTGACTGGATCCGAGAGGGCGTTCGCAGGTGTGTGATACTCCCTGCGTAGAATGGGACAAGTTACCAATGCCAGGTCAGCCGGTGCGGATATCAAAGAAATGAAGGACAAGGAATGTGAGTGTTCTCTGTTGTTCAAGCTCAGCCTAGGCCTGACAGTCTGAGACGCATAGTTTCGGATGTGTACAAGAACAGATTCCTTGAGAACTGGACAGCTATGACCAAAATACGCAAGCCGGTCATCGCTGCTGTAAGCGGTTATGCTGTGAGCATGCTCCTCCTTGATATGCCGTGCAAAGGAGTCTGACTTAACATGGCAGTTGGGAGGGGGTTGTGAACTTGCCTTGATGTGCGACATCATCCTCGCCTCACCTACCGCGGTGTTTGGTCAGCCTGAAATCAACCTCGGTGTCATACCAGGAGGGGGAGGGACACAGCGCCTGGCGCTGGCGATAGGCAAATCACGCACAATGGAGCTTGTTCTTACCGGGCGTAATTTCACGGCACAAGAGGCAGAGAAGTGGGGCGTAGTGAGTAAGGTGGTCGGAGAGGGGGAGGGACAAGTGGTTAAGGAGGCCGTAGAGATGGGTAAACTGATAGCGAGCAAAGGCCAGATCGCTGTGCAAGCAGGAAAGGAAGCCGTCAATGCCGGTACGTGTCTTTGCTAGCTCATGCCTTCTAGCGCACTGAAAACAAAGGCAGCTTATGAACTAACTCTGGCTGAGGGCCTCCGTTTCGAGAGGAGACTGTTCCATGGCCTGTTCGCAACGAAGGATCAGAAAGAGGGTGCGTATCGAGGTGACACTGTCTATCCACATTATTAATGCTCTCCCCAGGCATGGCAGCGTTTGCGGAGAAAAGAAAGGCGAACTTCACTCACTCATGAGGCGCAAGTTGATAGTGAATATATATGATACTGTTGACCATAGATTACTTTGCTGAGTTGGGAGGTGGTCATGGAGGTATCCGTCGATCCTTTACGTTCAACTGTGGATGGACTACATGACAGCAGAAACGAAAAGAAATTCACGCCTCTCTTATTCCTGGGTCTCAGGGAAGATCATGGGGTTCAAAACGTACCGCTCACATGTACAGCTGAATCCTATACACCCGTTAATCATGACTTCGCCCAGCGGAAGACGCTTCCCACAAGGAAGCCTAGCCGCAAAGGTGGATGAGGACCTTATGTCACCTTTCAACGATTTGTATGCTTACCGACTCCAAGAGCACCCATGATTCTCTTACCCGTGACTGAACCAGGTTGATGAGCCCTCGACATATTCAGCGCATATACGCCTGTCACCGCCAACGCGCCTGTTCCAATGACGCGACAAGCGAAGCATTCCTGTGGCGAATTGACTAGAGCCCCCTGCTGTTCGACCTTCTGTATGTCACCCATGGTAATAGAGGAAGCGATGTGATGCTCAATCGATGAGCGGTCGATAATAGTTATATGTCGTTCAGATACAAAAGCTCAGTATTATTGCCGAGGTACGCGTTACGTGTCGCGGCAGGGTGAGTGACAGTACGCGTAACGCGGCTTGCTGCTTCACAACTCCTTGAAGTCTGTCTCCCATCCGTGTGAGGGCGTGGACAAACGAAGACAGCGTCGCAAAATCCGATTTCACAGGTGGTTCACCGATCTCTAGCGTATGTCGCCCATGGAGAAAAATACTGAGCCTTCCGGATCGGTGGTCGAGACGTTCAAGGCCTATTTCAGCGGCCATTGTCTGAGGGGAACGGATGCATTTGGTGTATGCATATATTCCGACCAGTCCCCACTTGGCTGGCGTCTGGGCCTCAAATGCCGTGCAGGGAAAGGTATCACTGGAAAGCCCAAGATGAACTTCCTCTTCGACCCAAAATCTGTGAATCCTAGGTTGGGTCGGTTGTACATCTCTATAGACGTCAGGGAGGAGCATGCGCTTCAATATCGCGAACTCGTGGAGGCCTTCGAAGTGCAGGCACTTCCTGATGTCTCTCCCAGTAAAATTGGTTCCTGGGAGATTAGTGGAAGTTGTCTGGCTATTCGTTTCACCGTGGCATGGGGACCAGGGCGAACGAGGCTATCGAAGTCTGAACCCGAAGGACCAGTTAGGTCCGTGGCGATGCAAAAGTCTCTGGCGGACTCTATGCAGGACGGCCAATTTCTTGACACCCGGTTCTTTGCGTACTCCAAAAGACGGCACTTAGGCCGAGTCGATACGCCGCTCCCTGTCTATGCTAATAGTGAGCTTCTGAAGGACAAATCGCCTTATTTTACCACTCGTAAGTCATCAAATATGGGTTTCGGGGTAATCAATACTAATCCCGTCCTTGAGTCCTGTCAAGCGAAGACTTCTCTGAATGTTCCCTCAACGTGCTGGAGGGTGGCTTTCCGAAGGATCAACAGTCATTTTTCGATGACTATGATTACGGGTCAGACAGTGACCTGGAAGATGAGACCCTGTTCCAAGAGGAGACTTGTGACAGTGAACCTGCCGCGCTATTATCTGCCGAAGCACAGGCGAGAAGTCCGGGAAACGCCAGGGATATCGGCCTCGTCCACAGCTCTGAGAAGTAGGTACATTGTTATCGATCCTCCAACCATTAACATATGGGCTGTGACAAAGTGATGGATCCGAGTCTGCTTCTCCTGCCGAGCAGATCACATCCGGAGCCGCCACGCCTCATCGCTTGCACGGTAGGTGCGGACGAACTGTTGTCGTGAAGGACGTCGCACATAAAACGTAAGCCCAAACGATCAACTAAGATCTTCTACCTGAATGCCGTTGCGAGGGACACCCGTACAGATTCCGCGCCTTGATATACTACCTCTACACCCGCAATGTTGCATTTGCACCTCTGAGATCGGAGCGACGGCCAGTCGACGACGACAGGCCGTATCTCCCGCTCTGCTCTCCCAAATCTATGTATAGACTGGCAGATAAGGCACGCATTTCTCCTTGTTCCTCAGCATAATTATATTGATTCCTGTTAGCTTGGCTTCGAGGAGCTTAAAGAGCTCGCCTTTCAGGCAATCAAGTCATGTCTGTCGGACAGTAACATCGTTCATGAGAATTTCACCAAGTTCACCTCACTGTAAGTACTCAGTTGTTTGGCTACTGGTATTGACCGCACAGGAGCCTCCTGCCATAGGTACGACGAGATAAGATTGATGGAGACAGACATTCTCTGTGCTTCCACAAATCACGCAGCGGTGAGAGAACAACTCCCGCGAATGATAGAGAAGATCGCGGACGGACAACTGCGACATTCTGCCCCAATGCTCTCATCCCTGGTCCTAAAGCTTGCTAGCCAAACACCTTCACGCAAGTAACGTGACCCTTGCGCGGCGCCGCCCAGGTCTCGCTTTGGGGTCCACCCCACGTCGCGTATTGGTACCCGTCGGCTGACGTTTGCAGGGCTGTATGTTCCCCACAGTACATCAGTCTTGAACTTACTATATCCTGTTCCAATCGCGACCGGACCCTGCCTATTAACATAGATCATCAGTCCTGTGAGGCAAGGAGATATTCGACATAGCGCACTGATGTTATCCGGTCTTTATGGCGTCAAGGCGTCGCTGATGGGAGCAAGAGACGGAGACAGTGTCGACTACAGGAGTATCTGCCCATCTCCAGGCCAGGTCCTGAGTCCAGTGTCATATCGTTTTCGAGAAGTCCCTTCATCTCGCTCTCCCAGCTTGGGTACAGACTATCCCCAAGCCTTAGGTTCATTGCTTGACGGGCAAACCTTGTGAGTATGCTCATGTCCGTGGCAGCTCCCTCCAAGCGGTGACTCCGTGAGATTCGGCGCACGAATCCGATTCCTGAGCAATACGACCGCCGCAACCGGAGGTACCTTGAGATCTGCGAAGACAGTACATTGGCCGGACGTCTAGCGGTGTTATCGCACAACATGACGCGTGTACTAGGCCACAGCATAGGGCCTTGAGAGTAACAACATGACTTGCCTCGGCGAACATGACCTGCATACGTCCTGAGGTACAGTCATAAACACTCAAGGCGACGGATGAGGCCCGATGATATATAATGCACAACATGGAAAAGACAATGACCCGAACATCTACTCATCTGGTACCTCGATCTCTCCCGAGTTGATACCGTCGATAATATCGTGTGGAGGTTGGCCGTCAACCGTGCATCCAACACTCTGCGCCGTACCCAAGATCTCCTTCGTAACACCAGCCAGGTCCTTCGCCAAGGACTTCGACCGCATTGTCCGTGCGATGTCAAAGATTTCGTCGAGGGGGATGTTGCCGGAGTGCTTGATGTTCTTCTCTTTTTTCCGGTCACGGGGAGGCTCTGAATGCCGCGAAGGACGAGATTAGTGGAACTCATGGGGTTCTGCGTACCACTTACCCTTCAAAGCCTTAATGACAAGGGAGGATGCGGAAGGAACGACAGAAACGGCGGCTTGCCGATTTTGAATGGTGAGCTGGACAGTCACCCGCAGACCCTTCCATGCACCCGTAGCCTTCGCGATATCTTCCCCGACCTTCTTCGGTGACTACCCGCGCCATTCTCTCAGCACTGTAATCAGTTCCAGTACTGAACATCACATACCAGACCGAGAGGACCGATTTTGGGTGCGAGGGCAGAGGAAGAACCAACTTCACCCCCAGTCGCACGGAGCTTGATGATCTTAATTTCGTTGGGATCCTAGCATTCACGTCAATAACGTTGCAATGTCGTCGAAGTCGTTCTGTACTCACGAACTTGGGGGCCATGGCTGCGAGAAGTGTGTCCTGCCTAGTATCGGGTCCGGTGTGGCGGCGAGGACTGGGCAAATTACAGTTCAAATCCCGAATTGCCGAACTGTATAGCTTCGGCAACACCCGCTTCTTCCAGGTCAGATTTGGCTCTGTTTGTCCCTCGGAAAACATACCAACCATGTTTGAACCAGTCTTAATGACTTACATCATCCTGAGGAATGGGTCTGGTGCCTCTAGCGTTCGCCGAGTGTACATGTTCATTGGCGACTATAATCGTCGTCGTATAAAGGTTATTCTATCGATGACCGTGGATAGCGCTGCCTGTCTCGGTATGCATTCATCTTCACGTACAGTATCTTACTATCTTGTTAGCGCCCTTCTCTGAGATCGATAGGGTAATCATTCGGAGTCGCTATGTACGCGTCCCGGCACACACACTGTGACCCATGATTTTGTGACGCGGAAGCTGGGCGCGAACGTGATAACATGCATTCGACATTCAATATCACTGCGACTGAGATTGAGCTTACACAAAGCCCCCTTAGGTCTTACGTTCCTTATCTGCACTCATCCTCCCCGAAAGGTACGTCCAACAAGCGCTAGCGCCGTCGAACCTTCAAGTGCAGTGGTGACGTGCGTCTAAGCGACACCCAGGAGAATTGCCTGCAGCTTGATGGAGTATAGGCTGTAATTCATTGTCATCTATCGGGGTGACACCCTGCGGCAGTGCCAGAATGCTGCGGGAATCCAAAGAATCCCCACGGAGAAGAGCGCAGGTGCTTTGAATACTTTACGTGGTGCTCGTCATGTCAACTATCAGAACGCCTGCGGGCTGGCGTCCGGCCGTCTCATGAACGCGTCCTTTCGGCACGCCACAGCTCACCAATACAGGCGAGGCCCCATGCCTTAAAAGAAAGCCTCGGTAGGGATCTGAATGTACAAGGGGGATTTCTGTTCCTCGACCAATAGGGCCCGCTATGGCAGATAACACTAAACAGAGGACGATGCCGTACGGTCAGTTTTTCACCTCGCCCGTACTGATATCCACCAACCGATGCCCCCAGTCCGCCTCGGACAATCTGGTTTGAAGGTGTCGAAGGTGATCCTGGGTATGATGTCGTATGGCAGCAAAGGATGGGACTCCTGGGTTATCGACGACGAACAAGAAGTTTTCAACCACGTCAAGATGGCGTAGGCGGGGTCTTGAAGTTTCCCTGGCTGGTAAAATTGACTACTGCGCCCATAGATACGATGCTGGTATCAATGCCTTCGATACTGCCAATGTGAGTGTTCTGCCCAATTTCCCGCACATGATCGAAGAGATATGTTTTAGATGTACTCCAATGGATTGTCGGAGGTACTGTTGGGGAAAGCTATCAAGCAGCTACAACTACCTCGAGACGAAATTGTGGTGATGACCAAGGTTGATACCCTCTTACATGCTGCCCCCATACTACTCAGTGATGATATTCAGGTTTGGGGTGTTGTGGGCAAGACTTATGATACTCATGCTTTAGCAAATCGCTTCACGCCGGATGAGAACGGCTACGTAAACCAGCATGGACTTAGCCGGAAGGTGTGTACTCCGAGCCCTACCACGTCATAGCAGGAGCTGAGTTAGTTGCCTGGGCACCTAGCACATCTTCGACTCCGTTAAGCACAGCTTGGAAAGGCTGCAGCTGGACTATATAGACCTCCTGCAATGTAAGCCTCTGGTTACTCAGAGCCACCTCCGTCTTGATGTTCCATAGGCCATCGCTTTGATGACGAAACGCCGGTGCAAGAGACCGTACGGCGTATATTCCGCACTGCATATGTCAGGCGAGACACTGACAACCATATAGATGCAAGCCCTTCACGATGTCGTCAAAGCTGGATACGTTCGCTATATTGGCATGAGCTCTTGTGATGCGTGGCAATGTGAGTTTCTTAGTATATCCCTAGATATCCGTTAATGAGGATGCCCTAGTCCATGTTATGCAGAGTACGTATCCGCAGTAACTTCTCGCCTTCCTTTGGCCTGATGTTTCCCTAGACTACGCTATCAGTCACAATCTTACGCCATTCATTTCGATGCAAAATCATTACAACCTCTTGTATCGAGAAGAAGAGCGGGAGATGTTCCCAACTCTGAAGGTCAGCGCGACGTCCGCAGACCAGTGGGACTTGGTGTTGACCATCTTTCCCGCCCCCTATAGCACTTTGGAGTTGGCTCTATCCCATGGTCGCCCTTGGCGAGGGGTCTGCTCACCAGACCTCTGAACGCCAAGACTTCTCGCGGTTCCGTTGACTTGTAAGGATCTCTCACGACATGTGGCCCAAATGTGGACTATTGAATACCTTCCATATGGTTGTACAGGTTGATCGATGCGTACATGGGAGGGGACGGTACACCTGAAGTCATCAAGCGGTGAATGCTGCGTTTCTTTGTTTGGTCTCACGAGCCTAACTGATGAGATGTAGAGTCGAGGAGATCGCAAAGAAGAAGGGTGCTAGCATGGCCCAGATTTCTGCCGCATGGGTCATGCACAAGGATTGTGAGTCATATGCCCGCTCCAGGTCCGACCGTTCTCATACGGTTGGGCAGGCGTGGCTGCGCCTATCGTCGGAACCACCAGCCTGAAGAACCTGGAGGATATCCTCGGTAAGGATCATACTAACGCCACGACCTTCGCGTTGGTACTGACTTGACCATTGCGAGCGCAGGCGCTGTCAAGCTCACCTTCACCAACGAGGAACTGGCGTATCTCGAAGAGCCCTACAAACCTCGAGGAGTCATGGGTCACGGAGCAAGCCTGCGTGCGTCTATCAAAAAGTAGGAAACGTATCGTCCACGCCTGGTGTTATAGCCTGTGATTTGTGTCTGACTAATCGATACAATTTCGCGCTACAAAAAGATATGTCATGTAAGGTATAGCGTAGTCGCACTGACCAGCGCGTATCATCAAACACGAGCTATTTCGGCCTTCATCTTTGTCCCTGTAAAATCACAGGTGGGGACCCTTGTGCTCTCGACATCGGATACATTTTCAGCGAAGGTATGACCTCGGTCATAAATGGCTTGAGGGAGGAGCGGCAAAGGAGGCATCACCTTACGCTCCATTAGCAACTGCATACGCCCTGGTGAGCGCCGAGTACTTGTCTGACGCAGAGTCATCCTACCTTGAGAGCACTGCACACCCACTGCCTCGAAGTGGAATCATCTGCATCCTCAGGAATTTGGACTTCCTTCAAGAGTCCCGCCAGTCCCATCCCCGTAATATCGGGATCTAGCTTGCATACGAGGACCGCAGCAACCATTCGTTGATCGTAGTTGCTGACTTGACTGCCTTCGTAGCTCCACCAACCAGATCCGTCGCGTCCAACACGTTTCAAATGAAAACGCCATGTCTGCACTTTGGATGGGTCTGGTTTCTTGGGGGCCAAGGCTAGCACAGGATGAAACTTGGTTTCACCTAGTCCACCGGCGTAGAAAAGAAGGTAAAGACGGGGTTTATTCCGTCTGATGCTCGTAGGCTGTTGACTAGCATGGGTGAACAGACATCGGGTGATCAGGAGTAAATTTACCCTGGATAGAGCGGCGACATCGGATGGCTCATGGGGCGGCATGTCTGGATAGTGTTCCAATTCTTTACCGCTTCAATAGGAGTTTGAGGCGTTCAATTCCAAATCGTTGTGCAAAGAAGCAATATATATACCAAAAGCAAACACCTCCGGTCCATGGGGCAGCAACCGGTATGTCGCGTTCACGATTTAATTGTGAGCGACACTTGGCCGTAGCAAGGTTTCGAACAATTGAGTGACGGGTGAACCACTGCTGACACGTCATGACTAGCCAATCGGAGACGCGCACGATATTGAGTTCACACGACTAGTAGAAACAATTGAATGCCATTCGCTTGCGCTGTTCATCATGGCTGCCGTTGTAGAGTGCGTTGCATTTTCCAGGACATTTCATGGAACACATTCTATAGCTAGCCCTAGTAACCTCAACAGGCTATTACGCGCCGCCTACTTGAAGAACAACAAAAGCCAAGCCAGGCGAGCATCTCGACATTTTCCCGGCGCGCCTTCCCACCCACTGCATACCTCCACTCATGTCATTGGAGGTGCATAATATGCTACGGATATACATCTTGGATTGTACCATCTGGAACTCTGGGTCTGTTGGTGACAATCAGGCAGGGCGCCCTTCTGAGACACAGTGTAGATACTCACACCCCTGTCACTTCTCATACTAGAATAGTAGGGATCCATGTGCGCGCCCCAAATACACTTAGAGGCCTCAGGCTGCCTGTGCCAAAGCGCTTTGCGAAGTCGACCACCCTTACTCACTTCTAGCTTCGCCTGACAAGTACTGCATTATCTATGTCGCGTCTACCTCCGTTCCTGCCTCACTCGAGGCGTCCCGCACGAACTTGTTGATAGGGCATCAAGGATATTTAGAAGTGATGCTGAACCGCACAGGATCTGTGTTCCTGTATCTCTGTCGTATTGACTTACATACTAACATGCTTTCTGGTTCCGAATCAGACTGTTAAACTCATACTCCCCGGGTTTAACCACTTTACGCTGCTACAAGAGTGAAGAGTTGAGCGCAAACTTCGCTGTACACGATCGCAGGATATCGCACTTACATACACCTGTGACGATGCGGTCCTGAGGATCCAACGAAGGGGAATTGGTCCATAACTGCCGGAAAATAAAACCAGACCAAGTCGAGCGGGCCCTTTGGGGTGACGGCCAGGCCGACGTGCTCAAATCAGCAATGCTTACTCAGATCGGCCATGGCCACACTTTACCGAAACTAGGGGATATGAACTGCTGAGAGAACTTCCTGCTGCTGCTGCGATGCCATCAGTATAGTGAGGGCGCAAGCATCTATGTTGCAGGCTGGGCCCCCATGCCGTGGCATCCCAAGGAGGTTACTGTCCCGCTCCGATACACCGATACGGGGGAAGGATCAACCAGAACGCTGGTATGGAGGGGCATATGTTCGTGTCGCGCGCGACACAGATTCTCATACAGAAGAGCCACAAAAAGCTCGGGATGCAACGGAATGGTTTATTCGAGGGCGTGAGTTTATGATTACTGCGAATGATACATGTACTTGCTTTGCTGAACTGTCGCCAGGACTGCGGCAGATTCGCCATGATATTCTATCGCGATGGCCTGCCCTTAGTGGAGCCCTTGGGTCATGGGGAGGAGGGCATCCTTCTACCTGACATTGGCTTGATCGACTTCGGCAAGAACATATGCGATCTTGTGGAGCGGTATTCACAACCTGACGTCTCCTCCAGTCAATACCAAGCCTGAAAAATAGGATCAGTATATCGGATAGTATACCCTAAACTTCACCTGCTGGTGTGCTTGCCTAGCAAGGTTATAGAGATCGACTTCGAACTTGACGCGTTAATTGGAATGTAGATAGCTTATCTCTCTTCCACAGAATTATTGCATACTTCGTGCTATAGCTGTACTTACGGCCGAGCCTAGGCTCGTGACCGCCTCTCGTAGCGTGATTGAGGGCAGAATCATGCTAGAGAGGCTGGTGGATTTGCCGTGGGAACCCGGTTCACAGAAACTAACTCTATTTCGCCGAGCAGCCGCTTACGTTTCCAAGCTGAGATTGAACTGTTCACCTGCCCTTAACCTGAATTTGCCGGCCCTCGAGAAGATCGAGATCCAATAAGAAATGATTTGTAGTCGACTACAGTTGACTACAAACGCGGCAACTGAGCCAGTCTAAGCACGACTTAACGTTATCGAGGTCTCTCCATCTCCTCATCCCGGTCTCAGTGCTGCACTACCACGCCGTACTCGTTGCCTGTCTACTGTCTAATAAACATAGAACCCCTCTCTCCTCTCAAGAAATTATCGCTGCAGCTGAACGTTCACGCCAGCAGCGACTCGGACATACGCTGGCTACCCCGGGTCCACAAGTTTGCGGAAGAACATAGCTTGCGAGTAGAAATAAATAGCCA